GTAAACTGTGGTGTCGCTGGTTACTTCATCCAAGGAATTTGCTGTTGTTTCATTCACAGCATCAACAGGTGCAGTCGAATCTATAGATACAACTGTTGTTTCGCCATCATTTATACCGTTGAGCGAATTTTCATGTGTTGAATACGTTGTTTGGCTTGGTGTGACGGAGTCTTTAAAATTATTTTCAGTTGAGGTGGTTGCTTCTGTTATTTCATAATCCACCATGGCTACAGTAAAGACTGGCGCTTCGTTCATCTTCTTGTCGGTGGAATTAGTTGCCTGATTATAAAGATTTTCGGAAGTAATTTTTATGTTGTTCTGCAAAGGCATATCTGAATCAACTGGGAAATTTGCATCGATATCTTCTTGCGCATTTAAAGGGTTCGATGTTGTTTTCAAAGTTGCAACAGCCGCACTTGTTGAATATGAGTTGGTATTTTTAAATGGTGTTTCAGTTGTGGTCTTAAGGGAAACACATATCTCGGCCCCGTCATTTACACAACGAGAATTGATTGGACATGCATACGAACCGCCCGTGGCAAGCATTTCCCCTGTAGCGGTCCGAAGGCAATTTCTGTACATAAGCGGTCCTACACATACTGCACTTTTTCCATTACAATTAATATCCACTTCTAAACTCTGGGCAGCAGCCACCGGTGTTATGGTATCCGCAAATTCTTGACTGTTTGCAAGGGCAGAAAGCTACAATTATGCCGAAAACGAACGAGAATTAATTATCGTTCCAGCAATACTTTGGAGCATAAAAAATTTGTAACTACATATTTAATATGTGAAGAAAATTGATCCTTTTACTATTTCTGAGAACATAAATTTTTGTTAATTACAAACACTGACATATGAGGTTTTAGCGGTGCTGATCGATTTGATAGATGCCCATAATAAAAGCACTCCTGGCAACTTGGAAATTAATTAGGTACAACACATTTGCGGATGATAAGCAGTTTAATATACGCACACATGTATTCCATTTGGGTAGCAGATGAATTTGAAAATCGGATAAAATACTCTGAATCAATTAGTAGCAATTAAAAGTGATCTTAATTATTAAATCTATCGAAATTAAATGTTATTAGCACAACACAAAAATAGTTAGAAACATAAGTTATACACACGAGATATATCCAATTGTAATGAATCATTAGTCGTGGTGTGAGAGAAGAGAGCACTGGTTAAAATTCGTTATTTTTGTACTGAATTTTTATTTTAATTTTTTCTTTTTTTTTGAAATATTAATTAATATCTTTGTTTAAATTTAAAATTTTTTATTAAACTTTCTTGAAATATTAGGAACTTTAATTACCACCAGCAAAATAAACGTACTGGACACTTTATCCGGAGTCATCGTGATTCGTAAAACAATTCGTAACTGTTTGTGTTGAACAGACTCGCAAGGCTTTTATGCGAAACTGTTATCAGCATCTCCACCAAGCGGATTCTTTATTTTCATTTCATTTTACAATCTATATAAAAGAATAAAATGATAATTGTTGTTTGGGAGGGGGAAAAAGTGATAAGATTTTATCTTGTTTGAATGTTTCGTTAAAAGTTTTTTATTCAAATAACGGTTTGAGATGAGAGTTAAAAACCAAAGATGATAATGGATAATATGTCATTTGTTATACAAAATATATTTTAAAATGATAGAAACAGCGACGTGATTCCACTAATTTTGTTCATCTTTAAAGTCAGACTTGGTAGTCGGGCTGGGTACTGGTAAAGATAAAAAGTAATTGATATAGGCGAGTCTAACGGAGAAGGGGTGCACCGTTGATCGTGTATGATCCTCAACGAGGTGATTTGAAGTCGGTGCAATAATCTAATATTTTTCTTTTCATTTCTAAGAAATGTTCTTAATTTCAAGAAGGATTCTTAAGTGCTCATCGCACACTTTAGTAATACGGATCTAAGATCTGACAATTTGCCTATTTTCCCCCTACACCAGGTATTGTATAGGGATGTATTAAGTTTGTGCGGAAGGAGGCAACTTGCAGAAGGGGTATGAGATAAAGCCAGCTTTTATTATATTGACCTAAGGTTGTCCATCTCTCTTGCTTCCTTGTTCTCAATCTACTGGGTGCAATTTTTGACATATTAAGATGAAATTTGGTACGTCGACATGTTTTATCGCGAGGACGAGCGCAGCTGAAAATGATTCGGAGCGAGCCAATTTTTCGATCTCGTCTTACTTTGAAAAGTCATTGTATTAATAATTGCAACGTAATCTACGGTATTTAATGATGGACCGTGACCCATTATAGCGTGTTCACTTGTTTTGTTTTTTTTTTAAAGTTTCAGTAAGTTTTGAATTTAATCATGCAATTGTCTCAAAAAAAAAAAAAAATAAAAAAATATTTGATAAAAAAAGGCCTTTAATTTTACAAAATTTTGTCACAATCTTGATCTCATTGGGAAAGTAGATTTGGATTCGGTTACGAATGCTGACAAAAATAATTATAATCTTCAAAGATTTCAATACGCTTTTTAATACGCATTCCAAAATTTCAGTACTTAATACGCACAAGAAGAGAAAGAATAATAAGGAAATTTTTCACGCATTCCGGTCCACATAGACATATGTGAGCACTGGATTCAACATTCTCATACTCTTAATGAATTAAATTTAAGCACTTATTGGACACGTCTTCTTAATCCGAAAATATTTTCGGCTACATTTGGCGATTTTTTACCGCAAAATGTGATGTATGTTTATGATTAATTGGAATGATTTTAGTTATGAGATGCTAAAAACGTAGAGGCAACTGAATTGAAAATTAGCAGCAACCATATAAAGCGAATTATATGACATTTATTAACACTTCGTAGATGGCAGCTATTCTATCAGCTGCAGGCTATGTTTAGTCCTGCCGTTAGGATCACACGTTACATTAGTGAATTTAATCTAATTCATGCAATTTTGTGCGTTGAATTAAGTGCGGTAGACGCCACCGTCGGCATAAATTTACTGATCGGAAAGATAAACTTTTTTTTTCGTTTTCAGTAAAATGGTATTTCAGGTGAGGGTTTCAGCTATTGGCGAGAAGTTTTCTTGTAAACAAAGTGCTCCCTATTGCCGAGTATGAATAACAGTTTATCGGGCTTTAGTTCTTCGGTCACGGTTAAGATCACTTACAGTCTTCTATTTCAGATGGAACCATCTCTTTCTTAGTTACCTAGTAAACAATCTTGTCATTTCTTTCTTCTTGAAAATGGTCCAAATTGTAAATTATATTTACAGATAGAGTGACGATTCCAGACTAGAATCTCGAATCCCCAGTTAAGATCATTAAGGCTTTTTGACTCATTCTAAATTGATGCTTAAAACTTTTTCTGTGCAACTTTAATGGTAATCTTGAACTTGTTTCAAAATTATAACTGATTAGCAAACAGAACTATTGTTTAGCCTAAAAATACATAATTTCCTATGTTTTATGTATAAAGTTTTAAGCTGTATAGATATTTTAGAACTTTGCAATCACATTACAAGGGTTTCATTATCTATAAGATACTAAAATAATAATAAAAAAAAAAAATAAAAAAAATTAACGCTGATAACTTTATAATAAACAAATGCTTTTTACGTATAAGTTTGTTGGACAATTTGACATTTGCAGTAATGACAATATTTACCTACGCTGACGTATGTAGATAATTTGAGGAGAACAGAAACAAGAAGGTTGACAAAACTGTTTATCATTAATTCTAGTGAATCATCATAATTTGATCGCATGCGACATAAAAAAAAAAAGGAGGAAAATTCGTATTTCGAAATTGTAAAAAATTTGTTCAAGTTTCTCAAATTACAATAATTCAACCCTTTCGATTGAATCGCACGAATGTCCTAAGAACGGTTGATGCTGTCATGTCAACATGTTTATGAACAGGAGACTTTCACAACTGCGTATTGTTTTACGCTGGTTGTTAGTCTTAACTGTATTGGCTATTTGCTTATGGCTTTTCCTTACAATTTTCATGTGTTTTATGGCGTACTTTATTTCAAGCACTCCCTTTAGATTGCAATCCAATAAAGCAAGAAGAGCAACAATGGCTACGCTACCCGCTGGTCGTCTTGCAAAGGAAAACTGAGAAGTGCAAAGAGTATTAAGAAAAAAAAAGAAAAAAAGAAAAAAAAAAAATAAATAAAAATAAATAAATAAATAAAAAAAAAATAGAATATTTTTGTAAGCACGATAAACTGTCTTAACCGCCAGTCAGGCTCGTAATATGGCATATTGTCGCACCCTTGTTTAATAACACAATTTCCTCTTCTACTTCATTTGTTTCTCTTTTGCTTTTTTTCGTGCACGTTTTATTTTCTCATCTTCCTAACGGGCCATAACAGTCAATGAATGGTCTTTGGTTTTTATGTTATGACAGTTTCAAGATAAACTCCTTTTTGTTTCATTTTTTTATTTTTTTTTTTTGTTATTAGTTCTTCGAGATCAACGTAAGCGCGGTCATTGGGGGAAGGGTTGAAAGAGAGATAACGCTTCAAAGTGTAAGTATTCGTTAAGGCAACCCGTGTCATAAAAAATATCAAAGTTGTTCAAGGAAGAAAAAGAATTGTTTTGTTTTTCCGGTACATTACATAAAAAACACGTAAAGAGCAAATGTATAACAAGTTGCAAAGGACAAGCGTATAATATCTCTTTTGGTTTGGCAGTCGAATCGTTTCATACCGGTCACTTATAATACCTATCTTTGCAAGCAATTCCCTTTTATTATAAAGTGTGGAGAGCTGTCGTCTTCTTCTCGACCTGGTTATATATATATGATCGGAAATGCAATTTGAATCCTCAAGTTTGTCACAAACAAAACGAGGAATTGAATATATCCATCTCCTAGTTATAGGATAGGTGGTGCATAAGCACAGACTAGAATAGCGCGCGTTTGAGTGGTTGATAGATTAATATAGAAATTATTTTGCGATGCTTTTATAAATACTTGCTCACATACGAGTGTAGAAAATCTTTTGCTAAAGGCTGAAAACTGCCAACAAATTGTTCAAGTTTAATTTTGTTGTATAAATATTTGATATTAAGTATAACACGTGTTCCGGCTTATATGACAGTCTTACATCAGTTTAATCCTGGTGAGAACACAAAGAGAAAATGCTCGTTCGTGTATTCAAGCAAATCTGGATATAATGAAAATTTCGTATTTGTTGCCATGCATTCCACATTGATTGCAGTCGTAAACCTAAGGGAAATATATGTCAGTTGTTATTTAATGTCAGTCACACACAATGTGAATGCAATCCGATTTTGTTGCTGTGTTGTCGAAAAAGTCTCCGTTATCGTTAATTGAAGAGCAACATTTTTCAGAGCAACGAAAGATAACAAGTGAAACATCCATATATAACGACTTCAATGAATCTTACAACAGCATTCTTCATCTGCGCATTACAATGGAAATAGTCCAAGCTTGCGTAGAGTACCCTTCTTTTAGTTTTAAATTTCAATAGAGGCTGATCATCGTAATTTTATATTTTATATTTAAATACGCTTTAGCACATTATTACTAAGCAACTAAAAAATTTGATTTACTTGAGATATCTTTCTTTATGGCAAATACGAAGTTACGAAACTATATAGTTCCAGTTTATCCAAAACTTCAAAATACATATTAGCAAAAATTCAAATTTTTGGCGTCAATAAAGATAAATGTTTTAAAGGTATACCTCAAAAACATTTCAATTCGCAAGGAAAAAAACAAACTTTTAAGCCACTGTACTTGAATTGTGAAGGTTAATGTAATCTGTCAAGAAGTCCGTCCAAATTTTGTTGCAATACTGGTAATCGACAAACCTTGGCGGGAAGAGGATTTAGCTCGTAAGAGTGCGGAAACGGGGCGTATATTTCATGGAAGGAGAATAAGCATTCAGATCTGCGTAATACCTTGACAGGTAGCTTAACTCTTTAGTTAAATAAATATTATACAATGCCAGAGGAGTTTAAGAATAAGCATAAAAGAAAATTGACATGATTCCTTAAGAGAGTCACGAAACCGATTTCGATTGATTATCACTAATCAATTAACGGACTGACTATCATCTGCGTTTTGTAAATATCATAGCCAAGAGATAAAATATCAGAGAGATTACATGCGTGGAAAAAGTACATGTCAGGGCGACCAAATAAGACATCGAATGAATATAGCAAAATCTACGTATAAGAGAGCATAGATAGAAGAGAGAGAGAGAGAGAGAGAGAGAGAAAGTGCAAAGACAACAGTAGACCATCATGTAAGATATTTTTCGAATAAATTACATATAACTTATGTATATTGCTTCAGGGGTAGACCTACCTATACCCACTCATACACAACTTTCTTAAATTTTTTGCTATGAATGGCCGAGCTTTGTTAACATTTCGTTAAGACGTTTGCTTCCTCTTCGCATCTT